AGTATATGTGAACTGCTGTATGAAAAGTGAATTTACTCTGTAAATCTTCACCCAAATCCTAATTAAATAAAAAAAAGCTGTGCTTATTCTTTGACCTAGTAAGTTTATTTTGAAAATTATATATAAAGTCCAACTAAATAAGCCACACTTATATGTAAATTATAGTATGTCCAGACTCTGGAATACTGCATAACCTTAACATCATGATTCTGAAGAGGGTCAAATAATACGGAATATGCTCATGCTATATTAAGTGAAAAAAGAACATAAACAATTATGTACAGTATGTGTATCAATTACTGATAGGATGCATAAAAAAATGGGAAAGAAATTATAACCCTTGTAAGGGGATTATAGGTAGTTATTATTTTCTTCCTCAATGAGTACTTGTAGGTACACAATTGAAGTATAATTTACATACAGTGAAAAACACACCTGACGTATATAGTTTGATCACTTTTCAGGAATTTACACACCCAGGTAACCCACAGCTCTTTTAAGATGTAGAACATTTCTAGGTCCAGAGAAAGTACCCTCAGGCCCCTTCTCATTCAGTTTCTCTGGAAGCAAACAATGTTCTGATCTCCTTCACCATTAACTAGTAAATGGAATCATTACAAATTACTATTTAGTAAATGTTATTTTAAAAAATACAAGTCCGGATGTTTGAACTGTTTAACTGTCAAGTTAGGAGATTTAATTGTTTTAGGAAAGCTTCCTTGCATCAGAGACCCAGGAAGATTTTTCACTACTGAGGGCACAGAGAGGAGAGGTGAAGGAAGTTGCTTTAAGGAATACACTTTTTTAAAAAACAATACTTTTCAGACAGCAGGGAATATGGCTGAGCAAGAAACTCCAGGAATCAGTCCCTCCAAAAAACAATTACAAGGCTAGCAGAAAGTGTCTGAATCAGCTATTTTGGACCTAGACTCTAGTCAAACACTTATAGTATCTAGGGCAGAGGCTGAGGAAGACATTGGTAAATTTTGGTGAATTTCAGTGTCTAGCATGGCCTGTCCCCTCAAAATGTTAAGCTTAGAATTACCATATGATCCAGCAATTCTACTCCTAGGTATATAACCAAATGTGTTGAAAGCAGGGACGCAAACAGGTACTTGTACAACAGTGTTCATTGCAGCACTATTCACAACAGTCAAAACTTGCAAACAAACCATGTTCACCACTAGAAGAATGGATAAACAAAATGTTGTACATATGTACATACAATGGAATATTATGCAGCCATAAAGAAAAATGAAATTCTGATATATACTACAACATGGTAGAACCTTGAAAATGTTGTGCTAAGTGGAATAGCCAGACACAAGAAGATAAAGATTGTATGATTCCATTTATATGAGGTACAGAGAATAGGCAAACTCCTAGAGACAGAGAGTAGATCAGCAGTTCCTGGGGGCTGCAGGGAGGTGAGAATGAGGAGCTATTGTTTAATGGGTATAATGTTTCTATTTGGGATGATGAAAAGACTCTGGAAATAGGTAAGATGATGGATATACAACATCGTGAATGTATTTCATGCCACTGAGTGGTTAAATTTTATGTTACGTATGCTTTACCATAATCATATTTTGTAAAAGCTATCTTTCTAGCTTTTCTCAAGGCCAGGAAGCCAAAGAGAATTCCCCAGGCTGCATATATGGATTCTTTCTTTCAAGGAGCTCTTTCAAAATAGCTTTGTCAAGTCCTAAAGAGCAAGTCCCTTTCTACTACACACTACTCCTCACCCAGGACCTCTGGTCTCCGCGTGGAGATCCGCAGGCTCTCAGTGGGGATAGGGACAAGCTGTAACAGTACCCGAGCCAGCTGCTTCCCGAGGTGGCCACCTCCAATGATGCCCACGTTGAGCTTCTCGTAGGCGATAGGAGATCCAGAGATTTGATTCCCATGTAATGATTGTCTAGAGAATGAACAGACATTGATAAATACATTCATACATGGCTTTGTGTGTGTGTGTGTGTGTGTGTGTGATTTGAGAGAAAGTTTAGAGAGGAAATCAGTTTTCTGTTCAACAGTTCATATGCATTTTGTTTTGTGACATCCGTTGCAATGCCCACAATGGTACAGAACTCTTCTCACCTCTTCCCAGTGTTTACCATTTTCCTGAGGCCTTTCCTATCCCTCCTGCCTTCTGAACTCTGTCCCTGGGCAAATGCTGCCCTTCTGATTTTGCATAGTTGTTTGTTCTAATAAGTGCCTATCTCCCAGGTTACTGTTCACTTTAGGCATGTCTTGAGTTTGGCTGAAGGCTGAGCCACGGGGGAGTTTGGTTCCAGGTTTGAAGGGTGTCTAAGGGCCATAGCCTGGGGGAGGAGGGTTCTGCCAGTCTCTGTCAGACAAGCCTGGTCTTTTTTGTGGTTTTGAGTATTGTTCCACATCTTTCTCCAGGACTTCCTATTGTGATTCTTTCAGAGCAGTCAGCAGTGGTAGCCAGGTACCATCCAGTTCTGATCTCAGGCTCAGGAGGCTAGGGTTCACACAGTCCATTAGTCCTTTAGACTAATTGTTTCCTTCAATCTTTGATGTTCCTCACTCTTCTGGGCTCTGGACAGGGAGAGACCAATAGTTGTACCTTAGATGTCTGCTCATAAGCTTTTAGAACCCCAATCACTACTCACCAAAGTAGGATGTAAAACATTGTCTTTGTGGACTGTGTTATACCAATTGACCTCAGTGTCCCCCGAGACTATGGTCCTGAGCCCCCCGGCCCAGCGATTCATTCCTTCAAGGTTTGATTATGGCTAAGTTTTCATAACTTTGTCCCCTATATGCCCTACTGTATTTATGGATACATTTGCACATATAAATACATATATAGAAATATCCTGCCAAAGTTATATATATTGTAGTGTAGTCCCATTCACCTTCCCACCCCTATTCAGCTTGAGTGTCTGTGTATCCACTCATATATTATTGTTATTACTGTTGTTGCAAGATGGTGTAAGTAATAATATTGAGTGTCAGCTTCTGACATTCTCTTCTTTAACCTCCTCATAAACCATTCCAATTAACGCCATTTATCCGGCATCACTAGAGAATGAAATGCTCTTCTGAGTGAGTGTTCCAGAAACTGAAATACACTCTTTCAAGGGACCAAACTTTGTTTAAAACATTTTATGATGATTTTTTCTTTTTTTTGGTGAGATGTATTATGCATTCCGTTGCCTTCTGAAACACAAGATCTGAATATTTAATAATTTCCTTGACTTGAGACCATCAGGCAAACAGCCATTGTTATGTATCACATGTATCTACATAATGTAGAACACATTGTTGGCCAGGTCCTTCAAGTCTTGTTTTCTGTGCAGACCTGTCAGTTATCATTGCTGTCAAGATGAGCACACCCTCTCCTACCATACACCTTCTCTTTTTGGATTGCTATTTCAGTTCTGCACAGACTCAAATAACAAGGTAGCTTTGCTTTTTTTTTTTTTTTTTTTTCATTTTTTTATTGTGATTTGGATGAAAGTTTTGAGTAAATTCATTTTCCATACAGCAGTTCACATATACTTTGTCTCATGACATTGACTGCAATTTCCCACAATGCAACAGCTCTCCTCCCACTTCTTCCCCATATTTAACTTCTTCCCTGTGTCCTTCCCTCCCATGCACTCCTGCCCCCTGAGCTGTCTCCCTGTACATACACAGCCCTTCTATTCTCCCACGATTGATCTCTCCAAGGAGTGTATCTACCTAATGTAAATGTTCAGCTCATATGTCTGTCTTTTGTTTGGCTGGAAGCCACAGGAGTGGGTTCAATTACAGACCTGAAGGGCAGCTAGAGGTCATAGTCTCTGGGGTTCCACAAGGCTCTATCTGACCAGCAAACCTGGTCCCCCCCATTTTTTTTATGATTTTGAGTTTTGTTCCACATTGTTCTCCCACTGTATCCTTGATCTCCCACATTGATCTCCTTCCGAGTGGTTGACAGACAGGCACCATATAGTTCTTCTCGTCTCGTAGTCATATAGGCTGAGGATCACATGGTGTACCAGTCCCTTGGACTAATAATTGTTTCCATACATCTTTGGTTTTTTTCATTCTTCTTTGCTCTGGATGAGGAGAGACCCATTGTTGCAGCTAGATGGCTGCTTGCAGGCTTTTAAGATCCCAGTCGCTGCTTGCCAAAGTAGGATATGGAACAATGTTTTGTGTGTCATATGTTATGCCAATTGAGCTTGATATCCCCTGTGACCATGGTCTCGAGCCCACAGATCCAATTACTTACTCTCTCCGGATAGCTGGCTATGGCCAAGAAGTGACTTCAACTTTGTTTCTTGTCAACACTACTATATACCTGGAAATTCTTACAGAATGTACCAATACACTGTAGAAACGCTGTCTGCCAACCCTATACATGGTCATGGGCACACTTCCCCCTGCATAGACATAACCTAATTGTTCAGCCTGCCCACCCATCTACCCACCCATATATATCGATGTTTGCCATCACTATGTTGTCTGTATCTCTTGTGCACTTCTCTGTCTTTCTTGATAGTAGTGAGATTCCCCCCTTTCTGACTCTGGGATGCCTCATTTTAAGCCTATCAAATGACCAGTCCCCTCATTAAGGTTCCTCACACCTTATTTGCATTATTAGCAAGCTACCCTATCCTCATTATGGGCCATAAGCACCTTATTTGCATACTCCCACCCAATCATTTTGTGTGAGTTACAAGACTATGACTAGAAAGGTCATGTAAAAGCAATCCGTCACACCACAGGCCCACCTGGCTTTTCTAGGCATAGTTCTTTCATTCTTGGAGGATAAGTTTCCTCTTTTGATCATTTTACCAGTCTGAAACAGTCATTAACAATTAGTCCTTCAGTAGGGCAAAGAGTCCTCAGGGTGAGGTTACTCAGATACCAGCCATTCTGGTCAGGTTCTCCAATAGTCACCTTCTCTTTACCTGCTCCAGCGTCTGATAAAAGTGAACTGAGAGAAGATAATTCCCTTTGCTCTCAGCCTCACGAAGTATCAGAATATCAAAACCTTTAAGGGACTTTAGTTTCAGCCACTGTACTCCAGTCTGGCAGTACCTCCCCTTTAGTCCACTCTTTCACAGTTATTGCTTCTATAATTACAGCTTTTACAATCACAAAACTGTAAACAATCAACACTTAACAACTGAATCATAATGCTATCAGCATCTTTCCCACCTTCTCTTCCCCAGACCCATCTGGAAAAGATGAATCTATTCATTGGGGATCCTTCCTCATCCTCCTCATTTTGAGTGTAAGCACACCCACTAAGCCAGCCACTCATGCCTTCATCCCCTGCCCCCCCCTCCCCATTTTACAAAGCCAATTTCTAAATTGCCTGTCACTATCAAACCAATACTACAAGGAGACAAGCATGTTCCCTGATCTGAAGAATCTTCCTTACTGGCTGGAACTCTGAGCATCTGCATCCATAAGCAAAGTCCAGTCCAGGTCAAGCCATCAAATTGCAGCAATCTATACCAGCTCACAGAGTCAAACACCTTTCTCTTCATTCAGTTTGGTTCTAGTCAGCTCATCCTTAGCTCCTGTAGGCTAGGTCAGTGGAGATAGCTTTACTTTTGAAGAACATCCTGGTTTATTAAAGTAAGTGGTTTATGAGAGAAAACAGACTTGAAAAACTCAGGGTGAAGATTTTGAGACCACTCATTCCAGGGGTGCATTTGATGTTGATTCTAGATGAGTCTCCTTGCCCAGAATTAACAAAGTCTGACCTCTAAATACACGATGCATTATTTTGTGTTTTATAAGACAAACATGATGTTTCCTTACAAGCATCACAAGCCACATTCTAGTTAAACATTCTCTTCTGGTTAAAAGGAGACTTTTCTCTGTGTCTGATCCTTTGAAATATAAAATGCCTCCCCGGAGTTTCAGATATTGGTTTGTCACCACTTACCTTGGGTGCAACCAAAAGGTTTATGCATCCTTTTCAGTCAGGCAATCAGCAAACTCACTAAGCAGCCTGTTTTCCTGCATATATGCTGTATCTATAGCGTGCTAAATTCAAATCTGATCCCACCATCCAAGAATCAATCTAATTTCAGAGAAAAGTACACTGAGAAATAGACTGAGAAGGTGGCTTATACTCTAGGAGTGACCTTGTTACTTATACAAAGATATGAGAAGCCAGGACCAGGCAGAGAGCTTCTCTACAAA